TTGCATCACAAATGTGGGAGTACTAATGTGATGGAACTCATCTCTTTCAACATGGTGAGCTCTCTGTTAATTGCATTGCTCGTGTCTCTTTCAAAACAAAATACTATTTAGCTCTCACCTGCAGAGAACTGGTCTCAGAGACCCCATGATTAAAGGATATGCAGTTTCTTCACAGGAAATGTTAGTTCCCACTCTACAGACAGAGGCCATACATTAGTGTTTGCAGTCCCATGTCTCATTTTTTTAAAACAAACAAAAACCTGACCAAGGAATATGAATATTTCCTCTGCTATAGGCTGTGTGTACACGTCAACAAATGACATTATGAAACTGCATGATCATTGCACATATTATGTAAGTGCAAAACACAAGGTGCAGGTGGGAAGGCTTATAATGCCTTAAAGAGACTGAAATGTAAAATGAATGTGGCCAAGTTGAGATACAATGTCCAGGCTCCCACAGTCAGACAAGCATTTTTAAATGTGAATTCATTATCATTTTTTACTATTCAGAGTATTCTTGAATACTTTTTAGAGTATTCAAGAAATAGGAAACCAGGGATTGGATTCTAGACTTCGCCTATGACCAAACTCACACTTTTGGGAGGACCAATCCTTTTAAAAATATATACTAAAGTTAGGGGAGTACTAATATCATTCTCTCACACTGTGACTGAGATATTATGAATCAGAGATACATTTAAAACTTAGACAAAAAATATGGATCATGTTTGCTCAGTCCTGCATTATCCCTGAGAAGGTATCTCCAGATATCCAAAGAAAGAATGGCCTTTTCCTAATAGGATATTGATTTGAAGGGATCTAAAACAGGATTGGGCAAACAGAAAATGCCTAGAAGGAGGCAACCATCAACCCCCAGACATACATACAAAAGCAAATAGTCAGAAGATGCCCAGACCACAGAATCTGAACACGGAGCAGCCATACTAAAGAATAGGCCTAGCTACTCCAAGTGAGGAGTCGGATTCCACAATTCAGAGATTTAGGATCCATCCTAAGCTATGAAGAGTCTATACTGTCTGGCAGAGCCTGTGCCAACTGTTCTCTCAGCAAGCAGTCATCCAGACATCCCACAACGGGAACACCCTGAGTGGAGGAGGGCAAGAACAAATCAAAGAATAGGAATGAGGAGTTTGCAGCTACACTGGACATTGACAGAGTCTGCACCAACTATTCTGTGAGCTTGAAGAAATTTTGATATCCTAAAATGGAAACAGTGCAGTGCAGATCAGGGCTCGAACAGGTCACAGTCTGGGAGCAGAGAGTTAGCAGCTTTCCTTACAGAAGCAAAAAGGTCTGGCCTGAGCTATGTTCAGAGTCAAGCCCAGGTACTCCAAGTGATTATTCCCCTCCAACACAGATTTTTAAAGGCTCAGGATCCAACAGAATCTTTTCCAAGGTTTGCATTGTTCCCACCACACTGTGTCAAGACTTGTACTGACCATACTCACAATGGGAGTTCATCCAAACTTCTAACACTGGCCATAGCCTGGGAATGTAATAGACCAGCACAGTTAACAGAACCTTATGCACACACAAGGTGCTGATGACAGTCCAAAATAATAGGACACCAAATGTGAATACCATAGACCCACAACAAAATAAAGAAATTATTGATGCAAAAAAAATGGAGCACATGCAAGCATGTGTCCTTAAAGTCTACGGGGGCCAAAAAGTCTCCCTGATGGGGAGGCTCAGACCGATCTGGTAAAAATGGTCTTAAATGGGTCAATCAAAGACATATAGGACCTAAAGTTCAAGGTAGGCTTGTCTACTACACTTGGTATCGTTAGGTGGTCCCCCATCCAAGTACTAACCAGGACCAACCCTGCATAGCCTCAGATCAGACTAGATCAAGAGATTTAATGGTGATGTGGTCACAGGCTATATTTCCTCCTTATGTTCTAGAGCTGTTAAAAGGTTGGAAGAAAAAAAACAAAAACTGTTAAGCCACAGGAACTAGGGTGATAATAGCTTTCTTTAAAAAAAAAAACTTTACATTTACAGAGGAAAATGGGAAAAATTATCCTAGGAGTGGGCAAACAACACCTCCTATACCTAGCTATATTGAATGCTGCCTACTGAGGCATCTGCAAAGAGTGTAGATGCCCTCACCCTCCTCATTATGAAAAACAAGAAGGTATCTCATGATGAAGAAGAGAGCATGTAGGTTAAGATCTGGCCTTGAATGAGCCTGGGATTAAGGAAAGGACATCTTCTTAGCATCTGGTGAGGAGTATCCTGATAGAGGCCTGGGATTCTTCTGTTGTGGCAAATGAAAATTTTAGCCACCAGTGGCACCCTGGATGAAGTTGTCTAAAGCAGTTTCCAAGCTGCTGTAACTGTACCTTAAACGTCTTGCATATTAAATTTTTACTCCGTGCTTGCTCTGCAGCTCAGCATTTCCACCAAAGAGTACTTCACACATTCACTAACAAGAGACTCAGACAAAAATATAGACAGGAGAATCCACATTAACTCAAAGTGTTCTAGGACATGAATTTGAAGTAGGGCTGGGTCTGTTCCATGAGTTTACTCCGTGCATAAAAAAAGAAGGATTTTTAAGCATCCCTCAAACACCTATGGGATTTTTTTTAACACAGGCAAAACCTCACTGTATTTAATATTGCTTTTGTTATACTGGAACTTCACCAGGTCAAAAGAGGAAATAGTTCACATAATAATTAAAGATTCCCCATGTAAGCTCTGGACTGAAAATGTATATGAGAGGTAAACAGTACATAACAAGTCTACAATCATTTTTCCAGGACAAAGAGAAGGAACGCATGGGAAATCAACGGTCCTAAGGCTTCTAAGATAGCAACAGCTGCATATGAATAGAAATTTTCCATGTTGTCAGCATTAGCCTGTACAGAAGAAATCAATATAATAATTACAACGCTGCAGTCCTTAAACTGATGACTGAAGCCCAAAGATTGGGCAGAAAAAGGTGGCTTAGAGAAGTATCACACCTGTGAGACAACCAAGCCTTTGCAATGAAGGAGAGAAGGCAACTGTCTCAGCAAAACACCCTACAAGCCTCTTTCAGATCCCCTGAAACACAAGGTGTAAAGCACCACACTTGCACCTCCAACCACCACAGTGTAAAATCTGCTGACCAGGGGAAAAAAAACACACTCTACTAGGCAGGACTCACCTGCAACCTTGAATGCAGCAGTCAGAGCTGCTATCCAATCTTGTGAATTTGCCATGATGTGGATGTTAGCAGCAATCTTTCCTCCATGCTATTCAGCCTCTGGCACAATAAGAAGTGCATCATCTCAAGCCGCCAACAGTGATGTCATGCCATACCAAATTGAGGACTTGGGGTGCACACCACCACCAAAGGCTGCAATACTGAGCACCACGAATGCACCGCAGGCCCCTCACTACAGATACAGAGGGGAGGAGGACAGGGTTCACCAACTTGTGGGCTTCAGGATTCGACCCCTACATGATCTGGAGGTCAAGTTCCTGAAAAGGAGTAGAAGGGGCCCACTGAAAAATGTAGGAAAGATAATGCAAGGAATGCACAGAAGATCTGCATCCAGAAGGGGACTGCTGACCCAAGGACTATTCAGTCAGGATTAAACAGGAAACATTTTGCTGCTCCTGGACTGTAAGAAGCACAATCTAAATTGAGAAAAAAGGGGATATGGAAGGAGGTTTTCACTGTTATCATTGTGTTTCCTGTAGAAAGAGAAACCAATCATCTCAGGTTGCTACCCTGAAAGATGATTGAAGAAAAGCATGTTCTGTAAGATTATGCAATCACATAATACCCTAGTACTTTTCATTTTAGTTATGAATAATTGACCTTAATTTTGAATGTTTAGTTATAATTATGTTTTTATCATAACAAAAAGACTACTAGCTAAAATAGCTAAACAAAACGCTGCCATTTACAGAGATTTATATGTATCTATATCTCTATGGTGCAAATTTTGCATGCAGATATACAAGAAACTGAACTGGTAACTTAAACTGAAAATAGGCTGAATAACAAACTTTGATGTAATCATTCTAATGTAAACTTCTAAATTAGTCATTTTAAAGCTGCAAGGATTTTACGAATAATCGCTAATCAGCAGAGTTCTCTCCCATATACGAGTATGAATTTTGCAGACACTACATACCTCTATAAATAGCTAGTTCAGACTTAATAATCTATATCACTGAAAAAATCATGATGATACAGGATTACAGCAACATAATACATAGTACAAATGCATATTTACAAAAAATAAACCAACTTATCGAGTTGTAACATTAGTATTCTAACAATTTCATAAACCAAATTACACATTTAGTGCTCTACAGTACATAGCAAAGACATAACTGGCAATTCTTAATTATCTATAGGGAATACTGTTTTTATAAAAATAACAAACAAGAGATTTTAAATTGCTGCACAGATGACCTAGGATTGGTTGCCAGTCATGCAATGCATTGTTTATGTAGCCACAACATTTGGGCCCTGAAGGATGAACCTGGAGTTTCACAGCTATGGCACACATCTAGTCTCCATTTACATAAAATATTAAACACTTCTAACCTAGATGACAGATTTCAAACCATTAACAATGAATCATTCTAAGCCAATATTTCTAGATTTCACATTCAGTTTTTCTAGCTCAAATTTCTTTTAAAATGTTTTAATTTCAACACTTTGTGGATTTGGACATCCTTTTAGTGTCAAACATCAAACAGAAGAACATCATTTAAAAATGATCTCCCGTAATATCTATGATATATACATTTTATATTTTAAAACTATTATCTCTTTACAGCAATTGTCATATACGTATATAGACATATATTATGCGTTTAGTAAAGATTTCACCATCAAACCTTTTTTTTTTTACTTAATTAATTTTGGTGGCATGTGTACTCTCCTCAGTGAAATTCTGGGAGTTTTCTTCTAGAACTGTAACTAGAAAAAGATGTATTTTGTTAGAATGCAAATTAAACCTCTCTTACCGCTCTGGAGAGATGGTTTTCCTCCAGAAAGAACTCCACTCGGCAGCATCCCAGTAGGTGTGAGACCTTTCAAAGTCAACACGCTTTCACTCTCTTCTCTGTTAAAAAAAAAAAAAAAAAAAAAAAAAATGTGATTCATTATTGATAATTAACTTCAGAAACTATGGATATGCCTATTGATTGGTACGAAGCATATCTTTTATAAATTTTTAGATGCAATTAATTCTTTGCATTGCAGTAACTGAATTGGTTACATGTCTATTGTGAATCAGGATAACCTTTGTTGCAACAAAACAAAAACAGAAAATAACAGCCATAACATTTTAAGTGTTGATCGAAAGAACAATTATTCTCAGCTTCACCACACCACAAAGTTACAGAAAAAAAAGTTATAACATGGAAGGTACGGGGCAACATCTTTTGCAATGCAATCACATAGTTAGAGCATCATACCCAATAGCACCTCAGCATCCAAAGAAGGCAGAATGGTGCTTTCAACAGAACATTCTGGGTTAAATTTTACAATAATAACATGATATGGGTATAAAAGGACCCATATTGAAGGATGTGACTACTGCAACACATGGCTCTAATTATATTTATAAAGGAAGTTAACGAAGTGGAGATTTTTTCAGCAAACTGCATAAATTAAAGGGCAGTTTATAATGCAAACACAATCTGAATAACTGAAGTTTTTTTTACTAATGTACCATATAAATACGCAAACTAAGATAATGCAAGCATTCCAGGTAATTCCTAATCAGCAGGAAAGGAAATGTAGCCAGATACACTGGCTTATCATGGGTAAAAACGATAAACAACGGCAGGAAATTGTTCAACAAGACTTACTGCATTTTCTTGGGTGGTATACTCTACCTCTGCCCATAAATACAGTGGGGCAAAAAAGTATTTAGTCAGCCACCAATTGTGCAAGTTCTCCCACTTAAAAAGATGAGAGAGGCCTGTAATTGGCATCATAGGTAGACCTCAACTATGAGAGACAAAATGAGAAACAAAATCCAGACAATCACATTGGCTGATTTGGAAAGAATTTATTTGCAAATTATGGTGGAAAATAAGTATTTGGTCAATATCAAAAGTTCATCTCAGTACTTTGTTATATATCCTTTGTTGGCAATGACAGAGGTCAAACGTTTCCTGTAAGTCTTCACAAGGTTGGCACACACTGTTGCTGGTATGTTGGCCCATTCCTCCATGCAGATCTCCTCTAGAGCAGTGATGTTTTGGGGCTGTCGCTGGGCAACACGAACTTTCAACTCCCTGCAAAGGTTTTCTAAGGGGTTGAGATCTGGAGACTGGCTAGGCCACTCCAGGACCTTGAAATGCTTCTTATGAAGCCACTCCTTCGTTGCCCGGGCGGTATGTTTGGGATCATTGTCATGTTGGAAGACCCAGCCACGTTTCATCTTCAATGCGCTTGCTGATGGAAGGAGGTTTGCACTCAAAATCTCACGATACATGGCCCCATTCATTCTGCCCTGTACATGGATCAGTCGACCTGAGAAACAGCCCCAAAGCATGATGTTGCCACCCCCATGCTTCACAGTAGGTATGGTGTTCTTTGGATGCAACTCAGCATTCTCTCTCCTCCAAACAGGACGAGTTGTGTTTCTACCAAACAGTTCTATTTTGGTTTCATCTGACCATATGACATTCTCCCAATCCTCTTCTGGATCATCCAAATGCTCTCTAGCAAACTTCAGACGGGCCCGGACATGTACTGGCTTAAGCAGGGGGACACGTCTGGCACTGCAGGATCTGAGTTCCTGGCGGCGTAGTGTGTTACTGATGGTAGCCTTTGTTACGTTGGTCCCAACTCTCTGCAGGTCATTCACTAGGTCCCCCCGTGTGTTCCTGGGATTTTTGCTCACCGTTCTTGTGATCATTTTGACTCCACGGGGTGAGATCTTGCGTGGAGCCCCAGATCGAGGGAGATTATCAGTGGTCTTGTATGTCTTCCATTTTCTAATTATTGCTCCCACAGTTGATTTGTTCACACCAAGCTGCTTGCCTATTGCAGATTCAGTCTTTCCACCCTGGTGCAGGTCTACAATTTTGTTTCGGGTGTCCTTCGACAGCTCTTTGGTCTTCACCATAGTGGAGTTTGGAGTGTGACTGTTTGAGGTTGTGGACAGGTGTCTTTTATACTGATAACAAGTTCAAACAGGTGCCATTGATACAGGTAATGAGTGCAGGACAGAGGAGCCTCTTAAAGAAGAAGGTACAGGTCTGTGAGAGCCAGAAATCGTGCTTGTTTGTAGGTGACCAAATACTTATTTTCCACCATAATTTGCAAATAAATTCTTTCCAAATCAGCCAATGTGATTGTCTGGATTTTTTTTCTCATTTTGTCTCTCATAGTTGAGGTCTACTTATGATGCCAATTACAGGCCTCTCTCATCTTTTTAAGTGGGAGAACTGGCACAATTGGTGGCTGACTAAATACTTTTTTGCCCCACTGTATAAGGAATGTTGCTAAATTGGCCAAAGATCATTTATTTTCTATGACCACCATTTAGATGAGTCAAAGAACCCCCTGCATATATGGCAGTGTATGCTTATTGGTATTGAAATTTGGTATTAAATTGGTATTAGTATTAAATGAACATTAAATATTAATCAGCACCAAGACTAAATTAATTACATTTGAGAAGGTCAATTTTCAAATTTAACAATGCAAAAATATAAACATTGCTTGTAAAAGCGGTGTGAGGATCATGGAACTTCGAACAGTGCTTCAGACAGTTGGAAGAGCTCATTATTGCACACAATAAATTTCCAACAATTAAATGTCAAATGTATAAGGAACAAGTGAGCAAAAAAATTTACAGATGTTTTCCTACCTGCAGCTTTTTATGAGACACCTGCCCATTATAAGGTCAACTTTGAAAACACATCCAGTGGAATAAGTTGAACTATTGTTAAAGTTTATATGCGTCTTTTAGATAGAGGGATTACGTAAATACTAAAGGTTGGCATGATAGAATAGGTTGAAGATCAAAATGGTGGAGAATATTTTCTATTTGGTCACTCATGGCACATTTTATTGCCTGCCAGGTGATATTTCATGACTGAAAAAGGGAGGCATATGATGGAAAAGATAGTGAAATAATTTAAACTCATGGCTAAATTTTACTATACAAAGTCTACAGATCACTAAATTGCAATGCAATTATTTACAAAATAGTGATCTGGTTTATTCTAAAAAAATAAGTCACATTATAGACCAACAGTGTGGTTGTTTAACACACACATTAAGGGATCATTTTATGGAGTATATGATCCATAAACAAGATTTTTCTGTTTAGTCAATAGGGCTGTGGTAAGAATAGGGAGGAAGGGCAATATACAGTAACCATTACATACAAATTATATTTAAGATTTCCATAGTCAAAGCAACAAAAGCTGAATTCTGGCTAGTTGTTATGAGTTACTACACTTTGGGTTAATTTAAGAAAGACAAACGCTATTGTCATTCTCACCAGCTACACGCCATTGGCGGTGGCCATAGACTGTGCACTTTGCAAGTAAAGTTGCACCCCCATAGCTTAGTGAATGTACTGAAGCTCTGCTGATTTCCATAATCTAATCATGTGCAAGCAAAAATGCTGTTTGTTTCCTTGCACCTGATATTCTTTAAAAACTGAAAGTTCACCCCATTCACTACACTCTGGTGAAAAGAAGTGAAACTGCACTTGCAAAATGCAGTCTATTTGTCTTTAGTATATCAACTCCACTGTCTAAATAAGTATGTTCTCTACTACCAGTTTTGTGGATATTTTACGTAATCTAGGGTTACAATACTGTATATTATAATAAATCTGTTTCAGCAGCTTGAACAAAGAAGCTTCTTTAGTCCCTCACATTATTTAAGAATGAAATTCTATCATTTCTTCTGCTCTCACTTTATGGCACTCATACTGAAAAGTACAAGTCCTATCGTCCTTAGCCATCACAAACCCATCCCATCCAGCGTAATGATGAATCAAATTATGTTAGCTCTTCATCTTGAAGCATGTGTGGAGTTGAAGAACTCCTGTCCATGAGAGAATCAAATAATATGGGTGCCGTGGCTTCCTCTGCCATATAAAAAAATGGCCACTATACTTTTTTTTAGATCAGTAATGAATTTCAGATTTTTGAGATGTTCCCCAAAGTTGCATCTGAAATTATTTTGTCCTTGTCCACATTAACTTGTATGAGGGAAGTAAATAAATTCGGACACAGCAGAACAGGACATGCTGGGTTTAGAAATATGTGATACAAAGCAAAGGCTGACAAATATATCAATAACTGCAAGTAAACACTAGTATAAATATCAAAATAATATATGGCGAGTGTTGTATATAGCAAAAAGCAGCTAGCACGAGAGACAATGGCAAAAAATCTCACAGTAACATATGTGTATAAAGTGCAGCACCAAATCATATAGTGAAACATTCAAGAGTTATGCAGGAGTACTCCTGCATTGTGGCTCAGCCTATACATAAAATGAGTGAGTCTTTAGCTATGGGCTTTGAGAAAAAGGCGCCCGCTAATTATAGCCTTGCAGGCTATTTAAATGGTGTCTGTTCTTGATGTTGGAAATGGGCGTACCCCTGAGGATGTGCATGCGCACAAAATGCATTGGGTGGAGCCTACGTGCTAATGTCCCGTGATCCTGAGCGGTGGCCATTTTGGTATGTGTATTTACTCTAGGTTTCCACGTGGAAATTTTTATTTCTAATTTTAAAAAAAATACTACACTATGTACGCTATTTCGGGCTCCTTGTGGTAAGCTTTCTTTCTAGGAGGATCTCCAACCCAGGATTGTGAATAATGACCATCGATCATTGCTATTTTTTACCAGTAGCATTCTAGTGAGTGCATAGTAGTGGTGGAGTGTTCACTGGATCCCCTGGCACTGTATTGGAGCTGGATACGTTGCTGTTTTGCAATTTGCAGTATCACTAGCACGTATACACCCTGTTCCAAATTATTATGCAAATTCTATTTAAGTGTCACAAAGATTAAATATTTTGTTTTTCAGTTTAACTCATGGATGGCATTGTGTCTCAGGGCTCTTTTGATCACTGAA